CTGGTGCAAATTACTGACCTCTGTCATCATTTTAAGTGGGGGAACTTGCACAATCGGTGGCTGACTAAATACTTTTTTGCCCCACTGTATGTAATCAGCCAGTCACATGGTAGAAACTCAGTGCATTTCGGCTAAGTTCAAGCTGAGCATCAGAATGGGGAAGAAAGGCGATTTAAGTGACACTGAGGACATTTTGAATGGCTGTTTTTCTGAGTATTTCAGAAACTGCTGATTTACTGGGATTTTCCACACAACCATCTCTATGGTTTACAGAGAATGGTCTGAAAAAAGAGAAAATATTCTGGGGAAAAAATACATTAAAACAGGACTATGGACTATTCCAGGTGCCACTTTGATCAGCTAAGGAGAGCAAACTGAGGCTACAGTTAAAATGGGGTCACCAAAATTGGACAATAGAAGAAGACTGAAAAACATTGCCTTGTCTCTGTTTCTACATCGACATTCAGATAGATAATAGGGTGAGAATTTGGCATCTCAAAAATCTTTGAGAAAGGTTTCCGGCACCTTGCTGAATCTATGCCATGATGAATTAAGGCAGCTCTGAATGCAAAAGATACTAGGAAAGTGTACCTAATAAAATGCCCATTGAGTGTACATTTTAGTACAGCACTCAAAAGAGGGAGGTAGTTTTTCTTGCAACATTTTCTGTACATTTTCCTGATACCTCTGCACTTCTGCTTTAGTGAGAATTTGAATGCAGGACTATTACCAGAATATTACAGTGAAGATTTTTCTTTTCTTTAATAAACCATCATCATAATTAGCAAATACGCATATGACACAAACCAGCCAGCATTATATAATGTCTTTAATATTAGCTCTGCCTTTATCATCTGCAACTGTGCGTGTGTTTTAATGCATCAAAAACTACTGGAAAATGACTCACACGTAATGAGACTGCCCCCCCCCCCTCCCCCAACTCATTGAATGTACACATTGTGTCTGAGGGTGAATACCAGTGACGCAGTTTACAAGAGCATTTGCCTGCATTTGAATAGCGCCTCTAAGAGTCTGTGGCTATTTTCATAGATAATAACCATGGTATTACCCATGTTGCATAAATAACCTCTGAAGATAACTACATTGCAGGGAAACTCGCCTGCTAGCATGTGAGGTAATAAAATACAACTCCCTTAAGTTGCACATGTCCTATCAGCTGCATTTGAGCATCTAGCGACAACGAGGTGCAGAACGCTGCCGCTCGCCTGTTGACCGGTTCAAAAAAAAGAGACCACATCACTCCGGTTCCCTGCTCTCTCCACTGGCTCCCAGTTGCCTTTAGGATTGATTTTAAAATCTTACTGCTGGTTTTTAAGGTTTTAAATGGCACTGCACCTTCTTACCTGTCAGAACTCCTTAGTACTTATCGCCCCAGGAGATCTTTGAGGTCAGCCGACCTGATGCTTTTAGATGTTCCCAGGTATAAATTAAAGACAAAGGGAGAGAGGGCGTTTGCTGTGGCTGCACCCAGACTGTGGAACAGCTTACCTCCTCACGTCAGACTCTCCAAAAGCCTAGAAACTTTTAAAACCGCTCTTAAAACTCACCTCTTTTCATTGGCTTTTAGAAAGGTTTAATTTATTTGTTTTATTTATTTTTATTTTATTTTTATCAGCGAGGTGTTACTACGAAATTGTGTTCTATTGTATTTTATCTGTATTTACTGTACAGCACTTTGGTCAGCCTTGGTTGTTTTTAAATGTGCTCTATAAATAAACTTGACTTGACTTGACTTGACTTGACTTGACTTGACTTGACTTGAACGAGCGATTTGGACTCCCCAGTAATTTATCACAGCAGATAACTGGAGAACACTGATACCGTTTTATGCAAAGATGTAACAACTGAGTTTGCTCACTTTGCTCACTTAGAACGAAATGAGCAGTCTCTATTTTTTATGGTAGCTTCATTTTTATTGACGAGATATAAAATATGACTAAAGAAAAACATTATATAAAAGCTATAAATTGATTTTCATGTCGCTGAGTGAAATATGTATTGAATGCCTTCAGCAGAGACAGAATTCTGCCTGCTGCAGATTGGCTGCGTGCCCATGTGGCACACAGATTACAATTCGTCAATCAATCAATTACACATGCTCCTGATCTCATATCATTGTGTGTATGATGCACATCTGCTCACAGAATCAGTTTCTTCCATTCTACCCTCCCCACCACTGCGGGCAAGACCAAAGAGCTGTCAAAGGATGTCAGGGACACGATTGTAGAGCTGCATACGGCTGGAATTGGCTACATGACTATCAGAAAGCTTGTTGAGAAGGTGATAACTGTTGTTGGAAATGGAAGAAATATAAAATGCCCATCAACTGCTATCGAACCGGAGCTCCTTGTGAGATCTTGCCACACAGAATGAGGGTGATCATGAGAAAGGTGGTGCATTACCCCAGACCTACACAGAGGGAGCTTGTTACTGATCTAAAAGCAATTGAAACACAGTCACCAAGAACACCACTGGTAACGTGCTATCGTAACTGATTATCTGTTTCTCTCTGTAAAAAACGAAACTATCATAAAAATGAGAGACTGTTCATTTCTTTATAAGTGAGCAAACTTACAAATTCAGCAGGGTATCAAATAATTATTTCCCCCACTGTAAAACTACAGTGCAAGAGTCACAGGTTGCCGCTATCAAGACATTTCATTCAAAGTTTGTGACGCATCTCCAAACCTGGAGAGGGAGAACACCGTTAGTTTGAAGCTCAATGCACGGCATCACGTAGGAAAATACGGCCTTAAAGATGTTTATGACGTGCATTATTTCAGTTCAGCTAAATGGTTACGCCCTTGTGGTAAACCACAAGAGTGTGTTTAACTGCAAGTGTGTGCATGTAAGTGTATGTCTCTGCAAAAGGTATAAAACTGAGAATCTTACAAACCAACGATTTTATTAACAGAAAAAAAAAGGGGGGGGGGGGAATATATATATATATAGTATATGCATCCTGTTCATGACAACAAAATTTGACTGCAGGAGTGTGGTTATCTCTGTGTGTTCATATGTGACAACGATGAGCCATTGACAGAAAGAGGAAGAGAAGACAGATGCTGATTAAAGGCAGATTAGTGAAACGATCCTAAGTGTTAGTTTTTTACGTGCAAACCAGGCATCTTAACAGCATCTGAGGGCGTTGGCACACTTAAAATAACAAAGACTAACCCTTCCTTTTGTGGTTTGTTCTCCCCCCTTTTTTAATAGCACAACCACAAAGATTAACCTACAGTCTAGATATGTGAATCGATGTGCTTTAAGTTCAGAGAGAAAGACGTGATATTGAGTTGTACAGATGGCGATTGACGTGGAAGGTTAATCCTGGTATTAGAGAGAAGATTAAAAAAAAGCTCTATGAATACAGGATGAATCAAATCTGAATGTATGTCATTTGGTATGTGAGAGGGAGATAAATAAAACTTTCATTTTGTAACTTTTAATTTCTTCCTTATTCTCAGCACTGCATGTGTCAGAAAGAAAATAGAGAGCAGCACTTTTGTTGTTGGCTAGTAACAGTGTTACATTACAGAAAAACTAATAAAGAACACGTGCAAAAATATGAATAGCCCTTAATCCATCTTTCACAAATTTAATGACTTTAAAAACAACAACTGGGTGCTGTTTCTTCAGGATTTTCTCTAATCTACGCAGGGTTAAAATTCTAAAAATGTATATGCGCATACATTGCATCCATAGCCAACAAATTACAGATTGCTGTCCATAGGCTTGTTCAGATGGTTTTGTTGCCTTCAGTTCACAAAGCAGTAAATCATTATTAAAATCGCTTGGATTGTGGTTTAGTGCAAGCCGCTACTCTCCTAAGGGTGATGTTGATGCATTAAGACTTGATTTAATAAACCCGTTTGGGAGGATAAACTGTGCAGAGTTCTTACAGAGCACAAATATTTAACTGCAGCAAACACTCAGCGGTAATACAGCACCACCCAGTGCCACTTTTCACTAATGACCCAGGATTTACAAGATGCATGTGACAGCGTACAAGTCCTGCTCACCTCTACGGGTGGCCGATGAGACCTTTGCTCAGGTTGACCTGGAGATGACGTTTCACAAACACAAAAATGATCACAGCCAAAAATCAACTTTTCCGCACACACTGCAGATGCTGATACACCTCTGAGTTTTATCAGTCAGCCACCTCTGTGTGTGTGTGTGTGTGTGTGTGTGTGTGTGTGTGTGTGTGTGTGTGTGTGTGTGTGTGTGTAGGGGGATGTTATGAAGGATGTGAAACCTCTTGGCTTTCATGCAGTCATACACTGCTCAATTACACATCTTGGTTTCCAGCCAGCAGACAGTTCACATGACAGTAAAAACCCAGTCCAGACTAAAGCAGATAAGTTAACAGGCTGATAAAGGCCTGCTCGTTGGCCTGGGGTTACTGGAAGTACTGCCCCTTTAACCAGCTCTCCTCCCCGTCAGTCCCACACGCGTACTGTTGCTCTCTTCCCCATTTCGCTGCTTTGTTTTCATTGTCGCTCTTCCGATCATGGCTGCTCATTCTACCGAAGAGCCATTCCCCTTCCACGGGCTGCTCCCCAAAAAAGAAACCGGCGCTGCCTCTTACCTCACCCGGTTCCCCGAGTATGACGGCCGAGGGGTGCTCATCGCCATTCTCGACACCGGCGTGGATCCCGGGGCCCCCGGCATGCAGGTAGATCTGACCGGCTGCCTCGTGTTAAGCTACGACCTAGTTGGCGGAAGCTAGCGAAGCTAAAGGGCCGACTCATTCACTTCATTGGTATACAACGGCAGCGGCTAGCTATCTAGCTAGATACTTAGCATATGTGGATACACCAGTAGTTAACTTAACGCCACAATGACAACCATATCAAGGCAAAGCAGCTAGTAGTGTGTGTTTACCCCTGCTGTCAGAGTGTATTTCCGTGCTAATCTGGCGTACAGTTAGCCAGTAAGTTAAAATGTGTGCTAGCATGACAGCCTGGAAGCTAGCCGCTGAATTATTTTCGTGTTTTTTTTTTTATTTTTATTTTTTACCCCTCTTTATTCCAGTGTTTACACTATTAGATTTACACGCTGACTGGATGTAGCTAGCTTAATAGTAGCAAGGCAGAGTAAATTAAGCGTATTTGGCGTTTTGATAAGTGATCCGTAAACTCTGAAACTTTATCCAAACTGCCAAGTCACAACGTAAGAAAATAAGCCGACCAACACAGTGTTAAACACTACATGTTAGTCTAAACCTGCCAGTGCACATGTGTAAGTCTAGCTGGGTAGCTTTCATAATACATTGAGCTTATTTTCTGTTCTCTTGCTTCAGTCATGCTTGAGGGGCTGAGACTGAAACTGACTGCTTCTCTCGTAGTAAACAAATCCTCATGTTAAAAAGCACGTTGAGCTTTTTCAGGTATCATTTTACCGGCTGAGTTACTTAGCTGATTTATGGATGACGATTCATTTAGTTTGCTGTCCACACACCCCTCCCCATTCAATGTAAGATACCAGTTATGATTTGCACCTTTTTCTGTCTGCATTCTAGTGGATTGCTGATTTCTTACAATTTTTTTTTGTTCTCTAAGGTCACAACTGAGGGGAAGCCAAAGATTGTTGACATCATTGATACGACAGGCAGTGGTGACGTGAACATGACCACTGTGGTGGAGCCTAAAGATGGGACAATCACCGGCCTCTCTGGCAGAACGCTCAAGGTCAGTATATAAACACCTCAATGTACACAAACATTAAAAACATTCCTTTATAGGCGCTCTTTTACATCTGTTTCACACTGCATTTTTTTTTTTTTAACATCGTCCAGATCCTTCCTGCTTGGGTCAATCCATCAGGGAAGTATCGCATTGGAGTTAAAAATGGCTACGAGTTCTTCCCCAAGGCTCTGAAAGAAAGAGTACAGGTAGGAAGAGGTGACATTATTACTTCATTTTGTCTGACACACTGTTGAGCACAAAGCCCAGTACTCCTGACACGTGGACAATTAAGCTTGGACATGATAGCAACTGTTCAAAAGACTCATGGCATTGGAGCTTCTGGCCACCTGAGTCACAGACAGGCATTTTTTCCTGATGTTTCAACACTTCAGTCAGCTTTAGCGATAACACAGAAAAACTTGCTGAATTGTCCTCTTCCCTCTCATAGAAAATCCATCTGAAATCAGTGAACTGATAGGATTTCTGACCTTTATTCTGAATTGATTATCCATACTTGGAAAGTTTTGTAAAGAGTTTATAGCTTTTTTCATATAATACACCCACCTGATGAATGAATGAGGGGAAAAACATAATTGAAGTGTCCCTGTTGACAGCTCCTAAGCTCAGATTATTTCCTGAGTTGTATGTTAGACTGTGTGTTGTGTTGGAGAGTTATTGGATTTTTTTTTTGTGTGGTTTTTGACTACTAGAAAGAGCGAAAGGAGAAGATGTGGGATCCGCCACACAGAGCAGCACTCGCTGAGGTTTGCCGCAAGACGGAAGAGTTTGACCTCGCTCATCCAAACCCCTCACAGGTCAGACCTGCTCCCTTGAGGTCATTTGAGAGAGAGAAAGGCAACGTTTATGTTAGAAAATATGTACATTTATAAATTCATAGAGCGACTTGGAGGAAAGAAAGTGAGAATGGCACAAATAATACATTTAAAGAAGTGGGATTGTGGGCTGATTATTGAACAAGAATGGTGATAAACAATTTTGAAAGATCAAAATCGGAAGTGACAAAGAAAATGGAGCAGCAAGAATAGCTGCTATCACCAAGAGGAATAAGGAGGGAATGTGAGAGGATCTAACGTATTGGGCTTCATTTCTTGCCTTTTCCAAGTGTAGTTAGGCACCCTTTACTAGCATGGGATGCCTCGACTGTATCTCTCATCTTTCGGTCTCTCCACAGATTGAGAAGTTGCAGAAAGAAGAGTTGCAGTGTCAGTCAGAGCTCCTGGCATCGCTAGAAAAGAAGTACAGTGATCCTGGGCCTGTATATGACTGTGTGCTTTGGCACGATGGCGTCACATGGAAGTACGGCCACCTTTAATTTTCTTTCCCCTTCAGTATCCTTACAGTTTTTTGTTGTTGTTGTTGTTGTTTGTTTGTTTTTTACCCTTTCTTTTCACAACCTTCCCTTGTTTACCAGTAATCTATTTGTGATTTGTTCCCTTTAGGGCTGTAGTTGACACTTCAGAGTGCGGAGAGCTGTCCCAGTGCACTGTGCTGAGCTCATACAGAGAGTCACATGAGTATGCCACGTTAGGAACTGTCGAGATGCTTAACTATTCTGTTAATATTTATGATGACGGCAACACGCTCTGCATAGTCACCAGCGGAGGTGAGCCATCCCAGCGCATTAGATTCCTAATATGCCTAATAGTCGGGTATTCACACATGATCTAATGCTGCTTGTGCGCTCCTAAAGGGGCTCATGGGACACATGTGGCAAGCATCGCAGCAGGCTACTTCCCAGAGGAGCCCGAACGTAATGGTGTGGCCCCGGGTGCCCAAATCCTGGCTCTGAAGATTGGAGACACCCGCCTCAGCACCATGGAAACAGGCACAGGGCTCATCCGCGCGGTATATTCCTCAAAGTCCTGAGAATATAGATTTAAAGAAAATATCTGTATATGTTTGCACCATTTTATTCTTTATTTGTCTGTCATTTAAAGATGATTGAAGTAATCAACTACAAGTGTGACTTGGTTAACTACAGTTATGGGGAGGCCACACACTGGCCCAATTCAGGGTAAGTACATGGAGAGCAGGCGCTACCTCTGTAGCTCCTCGTTGCTTACTGTTACTCATTTGTCGCTGTCTTTTTGTCCTTCAGGAGGATTTGTGAGGTGATCACTGAAGCTGTGCAGAAACACAACGTGATCTTTGTGTCAAGCGCGGGAAATAACGGCCCCTGCCTCACTACAGTCGGCTGCCCAGGAGGAACCACCAGCAGTGTTATAGGTACACGCTCGGATGAAACCAGTGCTTCTCAAACTGTTAAGCCTGCAGTGGGTCCTGGACCACGGATTGATAACCTCTGGATCAAAACATCTGTCCAGCCATGCTTGGTTTCATTTTTGCTTTGTTCATTCTGCAGGAGTTGGCGCATACGTGACGCCAGACATGATGGTGGCAGAATACTCCCTGAGGGAGAAGCTGCCTCCGAACCAGTACACCTGGTCATCGAGGGGTCCCAGTACCGACGGGGCCCTGGGGGTCAGCATCAGCGCCCCTGGCGGTGCCATTGCATCCGTGCCCAACTGGACCCTTCGTGGTACCCAGCTGATGAACGGCACATCCATGTCATCACCTAACGCTTGTGGCGGCATCGCACTAGTCCTCTCAGGTGGGTCTAGTGAGATGTGATAATTCAGCCTGCTGTGTGTAGAGAAATGTGTGTGAATTCAAAGCTGATGCTGGTGTTTGGTGTTTTGTGAAAAAGGATTGAAACAGAACGGGATCCATCCCTCAGCTCCTGCTGTGAGAAGAGCGCTGGAAAACACTGCTCTGAAGGTTGATGACATCGAGGTGTTTGCACAGGGCCACGGAATAATCCAGGTACTGTGATTGTAAGACTTTCAACCTGATATTCTGCCATTTCTTTCCCTGATAGATGTTAAACAAATGTATCGTTTTGTCTTCCTCTCAGGTGGAAAAGGCGTTAGACTACCTCACTCAGCACGCCTCTTTACCCACAAGCCACCTAGGCTTCTCGGTAAGTGTGGGAACACAGAGAGGCATCTACCTCAGGGACCCAGCCCACGTTCTTGGACCCACTGATCACGGAGTTGGAATTGAGCCCATCTTTCCAGAGAACACAGGTACTTTCATACATCATGTTTTTATTTATTTATTTATTTGTTTGTTTGTTTGTTTGTTTTTTAAGAATGTAGCTATCTTCTTCTTCCATCACAGGAAACTCTGAGCGAATCAACCTGCAGCTTCACTTGGCGCTCACGTGCGCTGCCCCGTGGGTCCAGTGCCCCTCCCACCTCGAGCTCATGAACCAGTGTCGTCACATTAACGTTCGCATCGACCCCGTTGGACTGAGAGAGGGAGTCCACTACACAGAGGTGGGCACCACGTGAAGGAGAGAATGAGTCAAAAAATCGAGCTCATGTGTCTGTGTGCACTTACGTTCACTTTGAATTTGTCTTTCAGGTGTGTGGGTATGATACAGCAGCTTCTACCTGTGGGCCACTATTCAGAGTTCCAATCACAGTTGTTATCCCTGCCAAGTAAGTCAGTACATGCTTGCCCCCGCTCCGCATAAGAGGTTTGTGTGTTTCTCTGTCTGATGGATCTTCTCTCTTCCTACAGAGTAATAGACAGTCGTAGTCATGAGGTGTGTTTCACAGACGTCCACTTTAGACCGGGCCAGATCAGACGCCACTTCATTACTGTTCCTCAGGGAGCCTCCTGGGCAGGTTGGTGTCTCTCTGTTTTCCACTGACACTGTGCTAACGCTGGGCCTGATCTACCTCCCTTTAGAGAACTGGCCCACATTAGCCAAACCCTAAGTAGCAGAAGTTGGACTAATTTCCATGGGGAAGCATCATTGCTTGGTCTTGCGGGATCACTCCTATAGTTGGTTCCAAATTTGTGCACAGCAATTTAGTGGTGCCTTGCAGGTACCAGCTTTTTTTTTTTTTTTTTTTTTTTTTTTTTTGTGCCCAGTACCATTCCATGAACGTTTCTATCATATCTATACGGTCACAGTGATGGAAGCTAATATTAAAGATGGTGAAGGTTAAAAAAATGAGATTGGGTTTGGAAATATAGTGTACACCAGTCACTCAACTACAGGGAGTGCAGAATTATTAGGCAAGTTGTATTTTTGAGGAATAATTTTATGTTCTCAATGAACCCAAAAAACTCATTAATATCAAAGCTGAATGTTTTTGGAAGTAGTTTTTAGTTTGTTTTTAGTTTTAGCTATTTTAGGGG